CAATTAATAACATATGATATAGAATCACATTCTTGATGTCAACAGTAATTCACATGATGTTATTGATGGGAACCTTTTTAAAAATGTTGTATATTTCAGGAATTGTGGGTGACTGGAGGGTACATTACACTGTGGCTCAAAATGAAAAATTCCAGGAACACGAACAAAAGAAAATCAAGGAGTATGGAATAGACTTCACCCAGTACTACTACCCAACACCTAAGAAATAGTGTGAGGGACTCAAGCAAGAGACATGACATGGGAATACATAATAAAACACTAACACTCCAGCACTTATATTATAATACATCACATAATATTAGAACTTAACTTGCATTTATCACTACTACTTCCCAAATATATTATGTTAAACATTTCCTAGAAAATAGCAAATAATATCCCAACTAGCAGTTGATTATTGATTATTATATCATCCGGATTTGTCTTCATACTGAGAAATGACTGCTGAATGAATGAGTTGGTGCGCAGCTGGTATGTTGTCTAAAAGCTGAATATATATGTACTCAAATATGTAACTCTCTTGTTGTGGGTTAACACGAGTCATGATAAATGAAGCACTGTCAAATGCACTCCATATTTATTCACCAGTCAATGGGGAATCCTGTATTATCTTTATTTGTGTTTACAAATTATTCTAAGTAATAAATAAAAGAAGCATGTAAACTTTATCATGTTTTCAATGTATTACTCCTGTACGTAACATAAAACATTGATTAACAGCAGTTTGGAGGAGGAAATTATTTTGATGAATAAAGAAATTTAAATATACGTTTTTGTTGATTGGATGGTGATGGAGGACAGCATTGATACGAGTGCCTTGATTTGAACAGTGATTATGTCTAGGTACATTACCGTATTTTACACATTATCCCCAGGGAATCTGCTAGCTATGCAAATTTTCTAGGATAGAATTGTTTTCCACATTCCAGCTAGGGCTCAGTTTTTAACTTTTAACTCTTAACTTGTAATAGTACATTCATACATACGCAAAGCTCCATCACTACATTGCATATTTGAAAAGTTTCCATTCACTGTATATATAAAAAATACAATCATTGGTGTGGCATATTAATCACATGTGCATATAGACTATAAATCAAAGACTTAGTAATCACATTTGTTTACTTTAGCTTATAGGGATAAATATTCCTCAATCCCGGTTTTCATGTTTAATTGCAACTACTATGACAACAATACAATAGGAACAAATACAGATAAGAGCACATTTCATTAATAAGGAATACATTAAGTATAATATATGTAACAGAACATTTCCTAAACACTAGCTTCTTCCTTGGTAATTTCAAGGTGATTCAATACATATATATTGCATAGAAAGGGTAAGGTTAGACACGGTGACATCAACATCAAGCGTATGGTACTACACATCAAATGTAAATCGTAAATAGAATGAGAATGTTGAATATTGGCAGTATTTTTGTATTTATAAACATTTTCTGACTTGAGGTCCCCCGTCCTCCACAGCAATATATTATTCACAAAGTTACTGTATCACAATGAGCGTTTGATTATAATTGCCATGGTGATATACTAACGTATACAAGACCCCGTCCAATCTAAATATGGTAATTGACAATTCGATGCATCTACTTCCTAAGCCAGTGATTGATTGAAAACAAACACTATGGTACAAATTATGTTTCCTTTATGGACACACACATAAACCACTCATGCTTTATATTCTGTAATGACCACAAGATTTATCTATCACGTAAACAGTGATGTAATTATGCAAATATTTTAGTTATGTGATAAATTGTTTATTATATTTTACGGTAATTATCTCTATGTGCCGAATTCATATTTTGGATAATAGTTGCACAATCCCAACAGACCTTGTTA